AAGGGCACCATAGGATTAACATAGGATTGAAATTTTTTTGTGTGTAAGCAACCGAGAGGAAAGATGTTGCGCATAAAAAAATACCAGTCTAATTTTCTAATTATTTGTTAATTAGTTTCGAATAAATAATTTGTATTTCATTGACTATTGTTGTATTACTTACTTCTATGTTTAATAATGCACCATATTTGTCTTAAATAAACACTTTTAAACTTTTGACAATATTATTTAATCATTTCACTGAACCATGTCAAGGACTGGTTTAAATCCTTTACTTTTATCAAGGAAATGACTTTGAAGAGACGTCATTTTAAAATCGCCCATCAATTAATCATCTCCCTTAGAGAAAATTCCTAATTCCAATATTTTCCTGCAACAGATACACCAAATATCTGTGTCGGAATTTATAAAGGGGTATTCATAATTCTCTATGGGGGGTTCGAAGCTCTATAGTAAAAAAATGAAGACGAATATAGCAAAAAAGAACATTTAAAATAATACAGAAACAATTCAAGGCTGTTAAATTGGCTGTTTTCGATGTACCTTTTCTCAAAATCAGTGATATGTACATGTTTGAAATTTTTCATACAATTAAAGTATGCCTTTCTCATTATACTGAAATGAGCTTTTAGTTAATTTTTAATTTTTTCATAATTTATAAAATATTTTATCAAACATAGTGAAATTTGACCAATTTTTAAAAAATAAATAAATTTGTAAAAAAATAAATTTTTGAGTTTTTTACAAAAAGCTCATTTTAGTACATATTAGCCATCATAAGAAATTTTTCATAAAAAATTTACATATCTGTGAACTGTAGTTTTTCAGAAAAGGTACATCGAACATCAAAATTTACATTTTGAGATAAATTGATTTTACTGTATAATGAGACTTCTAATCGGCTAGGAAATAAAAAAAAATAAAAGGCTCAGTTTACAATAAAAGATACATGTTTTGGTTTATATCAGACATTAAACTTTTAAGCAAAAACGAAGTACTTTGTTTTGCCATTCAAATGGGCGTGGCCCAGTTTCAACGATTACTTAAAAATAGGTTTTAAGGGTTTCTACTTACCCTAGAGGTTAAAGTAAGGTAATTTTAGAAAGGATAAAATCTATACAATTTGAAAATGTAAAAATCTCAAATTGTCAAAAAAATAATATTTTAGCTTTCCAACACCTCTTAATTCAAAACTAAATCTTGATGTCCCTTTTCGACGATTTAGCTTAGAATATCGTATTTGTAATAACGTGATGTTATATTTTAACATAATATAAATGCATCAATAATTAAAATTGACATTTTAAGTTTGCTAAATTAACTCTTTTCTCCAAAGAAATTGTTTCTTAAAATGAGATTTCATTGTCTTAGCTAATGCAAAATTTTTTACCACCAAACGATAAATATATAAATCTTTCATACCAGAAGGAATCTGGCATTTCCACTTAGTTATAAATTTATTTCTTGCTTGTTCAACGTATGCCAAACGAATGAAAAAAATAACAATTACTCAAAACTTAGGTTTGTTTGATTACCGGAAATTCTATCCTCATTTTCGCTTACGTTTTTCTTTTACATTACTTTGTTCGATCATTTTCGAGTTTCAATCTGTTAATACTTTCAACGTTTCTATGTACAGTCAATGAATGAAAATAGAAATGTCATTATTTTCACTGTAAAATTAAAATGATGCTGAATTCCTATTTTTAACTTAGAATTAAGTACGAACTTTTTAAATTTAATCCCCGTTTCATATTATTCTCTTTTTAGAACTCAGAAAGTTTAAATATTCATATTCATAAAATGGAATGAATATTTATATTCTATTTGCGATTAAATATTTTTGAATTCTTTAAAGATTTTGAATGATTTAAATCATGAAATTAGTTATCTATATAAAACATTTATTTGGTGGTTTTACCTTTATAAATGATTTGTTTTATAGTGAGGGAAAAAAAACTAATTTAATCTCAATTGAATTGTTCTATCAATTCAATTTGTATCTTTCTATTGTAAAATGCTTTATTTATATAAAAATATAAATATATATTTATTAAATATATATATATATATATATATATATATATATATATATATATATATAGACTTTATATTATTCTATCATAATTTTTAACTTTATGCGGTACTGTTTTCTTCTGTCGTATTTGGTAGGAAGCA